TTTATGCAAAGCAAAGCCTGTGGGCGCTGTTGTGCTTCACTTTCCCTTGGAAATCGAATCCATCACTCAAGTCACTTTCTTGGCTACTCCCATGGAGTTTAGACCAGAGAGTTCTATTATTCCCTTCTTATATTTTATGAGAAATTTAAACTGGGTTTTGCACTTTGGTTCATGAGCTCAGTAATGCCAAGAACTTCATCTGGCCGCTGGGGAGAGACTTTGGTTAAAGGAAATCATATATTATGTATAGTCACAGTAGCTTGAAGAATATCACTTGTGGATGTTTTCATCGAAGAAGAAAACAATTCCAATATATATTTATTAATATAATAATAGACGAACACAAAGCAGAAGCCCCTAGCACTCAAATTTCTTACTTAAAAAAAAAAAGAAAAAGGAAATTTGAATGCTAGTGCTACCCTCGTGTTCTAGGGTTCTTCCAATATGAAAGTATTTCAGCCTCCTTAACCCTCTTTTATTTAATTTGCAGAAGCATATGGCATCATATGCAAGATCTCAGTCATATATTGCAAAGCCTACAGCCTCGCTGCTTTAGTTTATCAGTTTTTTTTTTTCTTTTTTTTTTGGTTAATTCTGCCGTACTTGTGTCTACGCTCAGCTCAGACATTGGAATCCGTATGCAAATCCATGTGATGACATGCGGTATACGATTTCTCTCTCCTCAGCCTATTTCGTTCCTTTGTGTCATGAGCCATCGATTGGGCGGTAGTGGGCAATAAGTATTTCTGTTGGTCATGATTTGCCAGTGAAGCATCTCTTTTTCAATGATCGTATAACATCAAAGTTTTTCGCAGTTTCAGAATTGTTGCTTCCTTTAAGTACAGAGGGCAGTGTTTGGCTTTCTTTCTATAAAGCCAGCCATTCCAGGCCAAACCAGAATATGCTTTCTTTTAATCTCCTTTCAACTAGAGATCTCTGGTGAGATTACCCCTTTTGAGAAAGCATCCTCTTTCTTTCTCTCCTACACAAATGCAGATCTCAAATCACTGCAAAAAGAGCATCGAGATTAATCTGATTCACCTTCACCATCATCAAAGCGCTTCTTTATTCATAGCTAGTCCAGCTACATCTTCTCGAAAGCAGTGATGGAGTGGGTTAATGTTGTTGGATCATCGTGGCCCTTATGGTATCTGTTCCAGTCATGTCATTTTCACCTCTTTCTCTCTCTCTCTTTCTCTTTCTCTCTTTCCTCCTTGCTATGAGCTTACAATTTCTATCTTTTATCATCTTGCCTTGCAGTGTCAGCCAAAAAGTCATGCGTACCCAGAACAAGGGGACATTGTGAGAGTGCTCGCTTTTAATTTACCCATGTCAGTTCCTGATGAGCTTGCTCCAAATTAACATGTACATTGAATTCACACTGACTACTGAGCTAGCTAGCTAGCTGGATATGGACGCCCCATAAAAATAGGCCTCGCGCTGTAAAAGACAAAACCTTACTTCTCTCACTTCCCTCTCATGCTTTTTCCTTCTGTTTCTTGTCTTCTATACTTTGATTTTCATCGGTTTATTGAATTTCTGGTTCTTGCATGACGGTTGTGTGAAAACTTTATTATTTCTCCGAGTGCTCCTGTCTTAACCTTGCTCTACAAAACAGATATATAGTGATTGCTGATTTCAAATTAACAAATGTGATGAAATTTGCAGCACTGTAATTATCACTAGCTAGCTAGAAGAGATTCCAATGATAAAGGGTTTTTGAAACTTTTCATTCTTAATATGTTTGCTGGGACTAGATGATAGCAGAAGTTCTTGATAATCCTCCTATATGTATGCAGCACAGAAATCGATAAACTGTTACGGTTATTGGTTTCTAATTATACATTGAGATGATAGCTTAATTTGTTTGCTCTGTATTGATAAATGGGTGTTGGCAGGTAAGTGTTCCATGCAGCAGTTTCTTTAACATAGTGACGGTTCGATGTGGGCACTGTGCTAATTTACTGTCAGTTAACATGGGAGCATCTCTCCAAACATTCCCTCCTCAAGAACTTCAGGTATTTCACCGCTTCCTTCTTGATCGTCTGAGTGTGCGCATCCGCCTTTCACACACACGCGTGTAATATATATATATATATATATATGAGATTGTTTCTTCGTTGATATCTTTACTTCCATTGATTCGAACTCCCCGAGCAAAATGCTCAGCCCCGGCTATATATAAATAATAAATATATGTATGCCTTAGTGTATAAGTGTTCAATTGGATGATACCAAAGTTTGGTTCTTGATTAGTTACAGAAACAAGAATCATGCAACAGAGAGGTGGGATCATCTTCAAAAAGCAGTAAATTTTCTGCATTTGAGTCTGCAGAGCATGAACAACATAGGATTCCTCCCATTCGTCGTAAGTGACTCTCGAGCGTTCTCTCCTTTCTATATAGCTTTTGGTTTCTCATGATGAATGAAATTATATTGTTACTTCTGTGTCGAAGTTTAAATGAACAACAATGCGAACTTCTTGTAATACACTGAGTTTTAAGACCGAAAAAGAAAGACTTGGATGCAATACACAACTGGCAGAAGTTAATATATGAGCAAGCACAACGACCTTATCATTGAGGCCACTTGTCATAAAACGAGTTTTTCATGAGAGTGGTCATTCATGTCTGAGTATCAAACTTTTCTTTGTACAACAGTACCTATATTGGGCACCCTATTTAATTTATTTTCTTCAATTTATATGGCCCCCTCTTAGATGGTGACCTTACGTAAAGAAATTGACCCATCCTATTTAATTGATAGCACGGTGCTGTGCCCTAGAACATATCATATGCGAGCTTATCTGAATTCATTTTTCAGTTAATATTAACAGCTCAGGTAAAGTGATCATATATGGTCCAATCTTTATCATAGAGCTTTCCAGAAGTGGCTTGGACAATCACGACAAGAAATGTTTGCTAAATAGCTAGCTAGCTTGCTGGGAGAGCAAATAAACGAGCCTTGGATATATACAAACTATGAAATGCCAATGATTATCAAATAAATCGTCTTGGGAACACACACACAACCACGGTTTTCAATTACCAGTTTCACTGCTCGGCAGTTCATCTATATGTGATCAGTCATGCACTTGACCTGAAACTCCTCACGTTTCCGAGTGATTCTCCCATCTGTGTGTCATATTCGACTAATTTTTTTTGTTCATGATCAATGGCATAACTTTCTATGAAGGCACAATTAGTATAATAATTCTGAATTAAAATAATCTCACGAATATTGCAGCCCCTGAGAAGAGACAACGAGTTCCTTCTGCTTATAACAGGTTCATCAAGTAAGTATTTAAGCTTTCTTATCACCGTTTTAATTAAACATGTATTGCACTGTTTATGACCTTATTCGCATAATGCCTGGGTAGCTAGTTCTTATTTGTGACTTGTTTCGTCGAAGGGAGGAAATCCAGAGGATTAAGGCTAGTAACCCCGATGTCAGCCACAGGGAGGCGTTTAGCACCGCGGCCAAAAACGTGAGTTCTTATTAATTAATTGCCAGCTAGCTGCTTCCATTTTTGCTCGCGCTTTTATTAAGACCACATATTCCATGGTTAAACTGACTACATGGTGAAATTGTTTACTTGATTAATCAATGATATGATTTAAATGCCCGAGTTAATTAACTTAGTAGACAAATTTTTTTACAGGCAAAAACTTATCAGACATGTCAAAAGTGTAGAATAATAAACAGCCCATATGGAGATTGTCTCTCGTGTGTATATGTGTGTGAGAGAGCGATTATTAGTCTTAGTCTACTTTTTCCTGGCCCCTAAGAAGAAGACAACTCTGTCTACCCAATTTCTTTTGGGGAAGGTGGAAGTTCAAAATCCCAGCCATTAATGTAAGAAATTTCCATATCCATGTTTAGGTTAATTATACCTCATCGATTAGACGATATCAAAATGCACATGCAGATATTACAAAGCCATAGTTTGCGGATATATAGGCTATATATCAGGATAAGAGAAAAAAACTCAAAAAATTTCTTAAAAAAAATTGGGGGGGGGGATCAGAGCTTAGGCCAAAATAATACATTATTATCACCAAACGTTGTCATAGAGATACGATCGAAAATACAACTCAAATGATATAAGTGACATATCATTTGGGGTTGGTCAAAGGAGTAATTTGGAATAAGCACTTTATTTGATGCGATCCGTAGGTAAAAAAGCATCAAACCTAAGTTTAACTTGATTGCACTCTCTATATGTTTTCTATGCTCAATAATTGTTCGTATATTATAATCATAAATTAAGACCGTTGCTCGAAAGCCGCTTATCTTTTTTTATCCTTTTTCTCTGCATTTGGTATGATATATATATATATATATATATTTGGGTGATGCTCGTGATTCCTTTCAAATAGTTAATTTTTTATGTTATAAAAAAATGTTTTTTTATTATTCTGAATCTTAATTATCCGTTCAAATAACTCTGTTCTGTCTTTTCAAAGGGTAATTTAAATCGTCTTTCCCCCAGTCTTATTTTTTTTCGGGTATAAAATTTCAAAAGTCTCTCTGATTTCTTGACAGATTTATGCAGCAAGTATTTCCCATATGGGATTTGATGGCGTTCCAGTAACTAGCAATACAATGCATCAAAAAGATTTCTTTTCTAAATGAAATCAAACCCAAACTATAGAAATGCGCCATGAATGGTGTTTTATTGATGCATGTTCACGCATGATTGTATATTATATAGTTATAAGTCAACTCAACTTCCAATCAATGTTGCACATTTTTAAATTATAGTAAATAATATGAAATAATGTTTTACATGATCTGTTAAACTCGTGATTTCATTGCATGCTTCCTTTGATCAATTAGGCATAAAAAAACAAGGGACAAGATTTGAAGTGAATAAGAAAAATGATATTTAAACCACGCTTTAGTTAAATCAATATATGACCGGTTGAGTTTACACCTCTTATTGACTATGTGAATTTGATTTTCTAAAAATTATTACATTTTTTTTTCAATTATGTCCTTAAGTGTAATAAACATAACATTTGACTTATTTAAAATACAATCATTAATTACTTAATAAAATAAGGGTGTAATTGAAAATATATATATATATATATAACACTTATTCAACACCCTATATTTTGGACTAAATAAAATTTTTAAAAAATAACTTAATATTATGTTTTGGAGGGAATAATACGTATCATAAAGTATCCTATTAAATTCTTTAATGTGTTGCTTTTGTGATTGTGTGGAATAATCATGCAGTGGGCACATTTTCCCCATATTCACATTGGATTAAAGCTGGATGGCAACAAGCAAGCAAAGTTGGACCAGGAAGAGGGAACTCAAAAATCTAATGGCCTATATTGACGATGATATCAAAATGGAAGCATGTAAGTATCAGCTAGAATTTCATATGCTAGACCTGAATCAGTAGAAAGTGATGAGGTTGATCAATTTCCCAGTCATATATACAAGTGGATAGGGGAGACTACTCTTCTGGAAACCTCGATCGATCAGCCTCGCCCACATGTTTGATACCATCTATATATATTTGTATTGCGTCTTCAACTTGTCATGAAACAATTTCTACTCTTGTGATTGCATTTATTACATGTTGAACTTAAGCGAGCAATGCGTTCCTGAAACGACTCTCCTCGTCAGTAATATTTCCTTTTGTTTTATCTGAATAATTTACAGACCTTTCTGCCAAGCAACGTCTGAAATTAATTGGTTGGATCGAATTTTCTTGTTTACACATAGGAAATTAATTAAGGACGTCATCTCTAGCCCTCTCATCCTCACAAGTCACATCGCGGCTTGCGCATTTCAATTCCCGTTGCGCGTAAGGAAGTGGGTTTCGCATAGCAATATGTTCTGACCAGCTTCTCCTACAAAAGTAAAACTAACAAGAAAAGAAAGACTCCTTGCCGAAAGTTTCTTTTCTGATGCAAAATGGCTATGAATCAATCATATTATTGCGATTATTACAACTAGCACTACTAGGAAAATAGTAAAAGAATAATGACGCAGAACAATATACTGACACCGCAAGCAACAACGATGCAGCCAATTCCAGCCTGCATAAAATTTTTAACAAGTACGCGCTCTGCCTTCTGCCAAAAACTTCATTTACAAATTTTTTCCAGGCACAAATCAATGCTCGCTATTACTAACTTCGGATGAAATTACATTCACACGGAGGAAAGAAGACCACAGTCTTGTACGAAAACTGATGCCCAACTCAGACTCCGGGATCTAACAAGCTTACGTACATACTATGCCAATCGAAGAACGCATGCAACAAATTAAATGAGCATTTCAACAGTAATGTACATCAAGTAATAAGGCGGTTGATGAGGAACGAGTAGTGGAGATCCAAAGAAGAGTAAAATAGTTGAAATTATATATCATGACCAATTGGGTCGGGGCAAAATGGTTGGGTCATATAGTGAAGTGACGCGCGATGTGGGTGGGAACAGTACTGAGGGGAAGTGGGGTGGCTATGATGAATAATGATAAGGTGAAATTAAAGGGGAATGCATGTACACAGGGATGATATGTATAGGGTTATGTTGCGGGGTGAATCGAATGGGGTCGTGGTTGTCCGTGTCTGCGATCGTCCTGAATCCTTGACTCAGAGGGAGACATGTGAGAGACATTTTGCGTCACTTGTGCTGCTCAGGACATCTGGTACAACAATAAAACATCCCATAACCCTAATTCTCTTCTCTGTTGGGCATCTTCTAGGCGGTGATTTATTTGCCAAGTGAGCCACTTTTGAATAGTGTAGTTTATCATGCGGGGCAATCTAGAATATAATATTTTTCATGTGCCAACTCCTACTTGTTTTTCTTTTTTATATGTATATTTTTTATGTAGTCATAGTTATGATTTCTTTTTTTTTTTGGTGGTTAAAAGTCTAGTAGTATACACACGTGCGTAATTAATGACTCATTATTAATGATACATTCCTGTAAATATTAATTAATTTCTATGTAAAATATAATTTTATAGACGTTTGTAAAAAATAATTTATGTTACTTATGAATTATAAAATATATTGCATGTCGCGGTTTTTTCCCCAGAAATTTATTATAGTTTTTTAGATGTTATATTAATTACATTTTATATTTGGGCGGTGAAGTTTTTTTTTTTTTTTTTGGCTTTGGTGGAAGGATAAGGGGTTTGAGTGACTGATGACTTGGCAGGAGGGAAGAGGATAAAAAAGTGCAGAATCTGAAATGTTAAATCAAAGGGCTAGGGTTGGGTAATTGGATGCATCAGCATGTGTGGCTGCGACACCTTGGGGTTCTTGTCCTCTGCGATGCTGATAGATAAGATGTGTCACTTCTTCGCTTTTCCGTCCCCCCCCCCCCCCGCCCCTTTTCTTCAGCTCAATTAATCGATTGATTAATTAATGTCATTATAATAATTCCCCTCCCACTTCGGACGCACTGTCACGTCGCTGCCACTCTAAGGGCGTTACAACAAGCCACCGGGTACCAATCCCCCTGGAACAAGGTGGCGACATTCTGCACTGAATGCTGTTCCCAGCCCAACCTTTTTCTGCGGTGGCACGCGCCTGTTAAGTGAGGCATGTAAATTAACTTTTTACATTTCAAGAGTCACATTTCAAAAGTATTTTTTCACTCTTGAAATGTAAAGAACTGTTTGAAAAATTTGTTTAGGAGTAAAAGAACTTTTAAAATAAGCTCAAACGTAAAAAAAAAAAAATATAAAGCTCCATTCAATAGTTTTTAAAAAGTAAAATATTATTTAATCATATTTTTTTAAATTTAATTTCTTATTTTTTTATTTTAAAAAATATTTAATTCATTAAAAATATAATTATCATTTAAATAATAATAATTAGATATTAATTTTTAATATTATAAATTAAATAATTAATCATGTTAATTTTTAACATTAATGTATAATAAAAATTATAAATATTTATCATTTTTTAAAATTATAAATTAAAATATTATAAATAATTAGAGATTAAGTTTTTAACATAATAGATCAAATTTTATGTTATTTAAAATATTTATCATATTTTTAAAATATTTTAAATATATTACATTTGCATAATAATAATTATAAATCATCATAAATTAATGTCTTTTTTAATAACTATACATTTAATAGCATACTTTATTATCATAATCTAAAAAAATTTTAATTTATCAAATAAATTTTTAAAAAAATATATTTAAATACAAATTTTATTATAACAACTGACTTTTATTAAAATGACTTTTGTCAGATAAACTTTCAACAAATAAACTTTTGATAAATTAAAAACCAAACACACCTTAATTGTTTTGTTTTTAATTTCTCAAATATTTGTATGCCATGTTTTTCTAAAAATTGGTTAGATAAATTAAAATTTATTTAAATGATATAATATATATCTATATTTTATAAGTGTTGGATAAAAAACATATTAATATTTATATATATATATATATATTTAATAAGAAAATATAAAAATATATAATGTTATACGATGCAATGCAATCTCTTTAATAAATAAAAATACATGAATAGTGTGAATTTAAAATAAAAAATCGTCAGCCTTGGAAATTCAAAATCAAGTGAAAATTAGCTGAAATCATGCAATACTCAACGCGGAACTCCAAACGCCAGGAGTTTCTGTTCTTTTGTTTTGGTTAAAAATGTTAAAATTAATTTTGGCCCTCACGATAACGTAATTTTGCATTTTGGCTTCCCTATTGGTTTGGTTCTGGATCCTTCCCTGATTTTATGTGTCGCATTAATCAGAAGGGTGGATACTAATAATCTATGTTAAAAGCAGGATCAAAATTACCATCTCCCAGATATAAGAGGATTTGCATGGATTAATCACATTTGTACGGAAAATTAATAGCACCTCGAGGAACAGCATTATCAGAATCAGTAGCAAAATTTTACCCAAAAAAAAACTAAAAGAAAAAAAAGAGGGTGGGACCTATTTGATACTGAGGACTACACTGTACAACATATGAGGCTACAGAATACAGGTAGACCGATACTCCTCCAATTCAATATATAAATCACTCTTTAAAAATATAATCTGATTTATTTTATAAGTCATTTATTAATGAGATTGTTTTATTTTAAATTAAAATCTTTAAATTATCCTTAAAAAAAAGAGAGAAAAAGATAAAAAAAATATTATATGATCGATTTACTTTTTATTTTTTACTTTAAGATTATGTTTGAAATTTTACTTACTTTTATTCCTTGTACTTTTATTATATTGGTATTGATGAGGTTGGTAGAAATGATTTATAAATAGGATCAAAGAGAGTACACCTGAAAGTGTTGTTCTGGTTGGAACAGACGAAAATTGATTTTTGTGCTCAGCGCACTGTGATGAAATTTAAAGTACTATTATACTTTAATAAATTTTTTATTTTTAATATGATTTAAATTTAATTTGAAAGGCCAATTTAATATTAAAAATTTTATAATTGATATATATTGATTATTCAAATGTATTATATACAATTCAAATTTAATCAAATGTTAATCTGGATTGTGTAGAGTACATGTGGATAGTCAATATATATCATTTATAAAAATTTTAATTGAACCTCCAAATTAAATCTAAGTCAAATTATATTAAAATTATTTTATAATTTTTATTAATTTTTATTTTAATAAATATAAAATAAAAAATACTCCCTTCATTCAAAAATGTAAAGCATTTTTAACCAAATCTCACCCTAATAAAATGGTTATTTATTTTCAAACTAACCCTATCTTTTCATATTTATCTCTATTAAACACCCTATAATAAATATAAAGTCACTATCAATAAAGATACTTTTGAAAACAAAGGCAATAATTACACCTTAAAAAACTAAAAATACCTTATATTTTTGAACATTTAACTCTTCAAAAAATGCCTTACATTTTTTAACGAAGGGAGTATATAATAGTACTTTAAATCTAGACCATCTTGATAATCCGAAAGGTCCAAATTTCATCACATGACGAGCACCATGTGATGAGCACTGAAACCAATCCTGAACAAACGAGGTAGTTTCTACCAAAAGCAAAGCCGATTGAATGTGAAAGTAAAAAGGGAACGAGCTGCTCCTTCATTTAAAAATATAAGGTATCTTTTAAAGGTTAAATATTTAAAAATATAAGATATATTGAGTTTTTAAAGTATAATCATTATCTTCTTTTTTTAAAAGCACCCCAAGTGAATAGATTAATTTATATTTTTTAGGATAAAATATTTATTAAATAGAAGTAAATATGAAAAGATAGAGTTAGTTTAAAGATAAGTAAATACTTTATTAGGAGTAAAATTTGATTAAAAATACTATTTTTTTGAATGGAGAGAGTATTTATAAAACATGTTATTAATTTTTTATTTTTATTAAATATTAATAAAAATACATTATTAAAATATGTATATATAATATAAATAAAATTCAAAATTTATCAATTGTTTGAGATAGAATTAATAAATTTAAAATTTTTCCTGTCCAATGATAAAATATATTAAAATAAACAAGAGCCTAAGGAATTCATTGATAAATTTATAGTAGGGGAAATCGCATTTAGGGCCCTCAAAAATAAAAAATTTGCAGACAAGGCCTAATAGAATGTGAAATTATTTTGAGGCCCCAAAAACCTCATTTGCAATTATGTTTTTTAGTGAAATGACCAATTTGTCCCTTTAATAACCAGCTGCTAAACAACAACTTCCTTCTCTCTCTTCCTCTTCTAACATCGATACAATAAGTAAATTTATCTTCCTTCCCATGATGCTTCTCTGTTCCCTCTCTTCTTCTTCCTCCCTCTTCCTTCTTTCTCTTCCTTCCCAAGCTCACATTTGAAGCATTTTTGCTTAAAGGAACGGATGATCCACTATTATCCATATGGCTATGGATAGGACAATCAGGTATTTCGCCAACTACATCCCTCTTACATTAACTAGCTTCTTGAAACGACCTGTCATAGTGTGGAAAGAATGGATCAAGTGGTGTGTTGATTTTGGCATAGAAGCTAATGTAATTATTACATATTGTGAACCCATTACCGCTTCTGAACAGCTTTATTTTGACAAAAGAGGACACAGAGAGAGCTTAAGTCATATCAATTTTATCAAGTAATAAGTACATGTTCATGTTTATTTAATGAAAACAAGTTATTATTTATGGGCTTTTTGTTGTTTTTGATACAGACTACAGCAGATATACATGTTCTGGTGTAGATTTTATTTATGAAATTTATGTTATCACTTATGAAATTCATGCTGTGCAAACTTTGCAATTAACTTTTGCAAATATTTATGTGTATCATATAGATAGACCTTGTGTTGTAAATTTATGAACCTTTTGATGTTATTTACGGATGTTTTGTTGTGAATTAGTTAATTACAACTCTCAATGAATTAGATTATAGGAAGGATGGCTTTTACATCTTACTGTGCAGTAGCATTTTCTAAAACTTCAACCTCTAATCTTTTAATAGTCAAAAGATTGGGTTACACATTATAAAAATATGAACATTATCTTGTTAATATTGGATATTCAATTGTGAATTTAGTTGTAAATTATCCAGATGTGATGTATTTGTTCCTAAAAATTGAATAAAACTATATTGTGAATATATAAGGACTTTGCACAGATGTTCATGTGTGCTATATAAAATGACATTGTGTTGGTAATATATAGAACTTGTCATGTTATTTGACAATCTTCAACTTGAACAGACGAACCATGTAAAATGTATAGACATTATATTGTTAATAAATAAACTTAATTATGTTATACACAGACTTTCTATTGTTCATAACCTTAAAATTTTTTTACAAATGTTCGACTTAACAGCACAGTCCATGTGAGATTGATAGACATTGTGTTGTTAACAAATAAATACTTTTACGTTATATACAGACTTTTTATTATTCATGAATTTGAAAATTTTTTTCAAATATTTAGCTTAATCACACAAATCACGTGAAATAAATGAACATTATATTATTAATAAATGAACTTTATCATATTATATACAGACTTTATGTTGTTTATAAACTTAAAAAACTGTGTTAAGCCTACCTAACTGATAAACTGAACACGCATAAACTTTCAATTAAAAATATATGAAGATTGTGTTATATATTATTTACCTAACTTATACATTTTGTTAAACCTAACCTACTAATTCACTAGATACGCATGGACTATAAAGTTTTACATTGAGTATTAAGAGCCTAACACTATAAACATAAACAGAGTTAGGTTCATGAAATAACGCAAAAATTTTACATTTGATTGCCTTGTTTTACATCTTGCTTAAGATCATATGTTTTTGAGTGTAAGAAAATGCTTCATATTCACGTTGGAGCAAGCATTCATGTTAAAAACATTATTGACAGGAATGTTCTTAATCGTCTTCACTGTGTTTCCCCACCACTTGGCAAGGGTCCTCAGAGTTGATATACACATGCACAGCTTAACAAAAAACTCAACAAATAAAATAATATTATGCAAAGTTGAAGCAACCCCCCGAGTCCTGCTGAAGACCGTGAACACTTAGATGTTGGACACTGTAGATCCAAAATCGATTGTGAAATTGAAGTTGATGCAAGTTAACTGCTCATCCTTCTCATCTTCCATTGTCATCTTCAGGACATAAGAGCCCTACAAAAATTTAAAAATAAATAAATAAATAAATAGGAGAACATTTGATAACGAACCAAGTGATTTAAAAGAAAAGTACTATCAAAGTCCAAAGACATGTATTATGAGAAGGGGAAGGACTGTACAAGAAAAGCATGCATAACACGAGTAAATGTAATGAAATGAAGAAAATTGAAAAACTTCCACGTTTGAGGTTCTACAAGATAAAACCAACACAAATCAGCCAAGCCATAACCTATCTTCAAGAAGTTACACACGCTAGTCTAATAGTAGTAGAGAGGCAATAAACATCCTGCTGAAAAGTAAAGTTGTATATAAATATAGGTAAATTAGCCGTCGCACCCAATCGTCAAGAGGAAGTCAGTCGCCCCAATCTAGATATCTGATAGAAAGGCAATAATGCAAGACATGCTACATCAATTGCCATGAGTTAAAGATTCTACATCTATACTGACTTGAGATATACTACTGAAAGCTGAGCCAAGTCGAGCTTTCAGAACATTGAGTTGGAATCTATTAAAAACAGATGTTAAACTAATGGTTCGCCCATAGTCAAAAAGTTTTGGGACTCCAGCTCAAGCTTTCTGCACCACAGATTGACTATATAAAAATATCAATTTTAAAGGAGGAAACAGACAACGACAACAACAACAACAACAACAACAAGCCTTTATCCCACTAGATGGGGTCGGCTACATGGATTGCAAGACGTCATTGTGCTCTATCGTTTATCAAGCTTTTAGAAATATTATTAATTAAGAGATCGCGTTTAACAACTTCCAAGAGTGTTCTCTTAGGCCTTCCTCTACCTCTTTTAATCGCACTCAAAATTATGTTCCACTCTTCTCACTGGTGCCTCCCTTAGTCTTCTTTGTACATGCCCAACCATCTCAACCGATTTTCTACCATTTTTTCCTCAATAGATGCCACCCTCACTTTTTCGCGTATGTGCTCATTTCGAATTTTATCTTTACGTGTATGTCTGCACATCCATCGTAACATTCTCATCTCTGCTACTCCAACTTTATACTCTTGCTGTCCCGTTAGAGCCCAGCATTCACTACTATATAACATTGCCGGTCTGATAGCAGTGCGATAAAACTTTCCTTTAAGTTTATTAGGAAACTTACGGTCATAAATAACTCCTTTAGCTTTTCTCCAATTAAACCACCCAGCTTAAATTCTATGTGAAATATCTCCATTGATTTCGCCATCATTTTGAATAATGGCTCCCAAATATCTAAACTTTTCCACTTGAGGTATAATTTGATCTTCCAATTTCACTTCCAAATTATTGTCGAATAGTCCTTTACCAAATTTACAATATAAATATTCCGTCTTACTTCTATTCAGATGAAAACCTTTCGACTCCAATGTCCTCCTCTATAACTCAAGTTTGCAATTAACCTCTTCTCTTGTCTCTGCTATAAGAACTATATCATCCGCGAAGAGCATACATTTCAGGATTTCCTCTTGAATATGTTCCGTCAAAACATTTAAAATCAAGTTGAACAAATAAGGACTCAGAGATGATCCCTGATGTAGTCCAATCTTTATAGGAAAATCCTTTGTTTGACCACTAGGCGTTCTTATACTAGTTTTTACCCCCTCATACATATCTTGTATGGCTTTAATATAAGCAATCCGTACTCCCTTTTTTTCCAACGCTTTCCAAAGCACTTCTCTTGGTATACGGTCATAAGCTTTTTTCAAATCAATAAAAACCATGTGTAGATCTTTATCTTTGCAACGATACTTTTCCATTAATCCCCTTAGTAGATAAATCGCCTCTGTAGTTGATCTACCTGGCATAAAACCAAATTGATTCTCAGAAATACTTGTCTCCAATCTCAACCTGTGCGCAATTACTTTCTCCCACAATTTCATTGTGTGGCTCATGAGTATAATCCCTCTATAATTAGTACAATTCTGAATATCTCTTTTATTTTTATAAATAGGAATTAATGTACTTCTCCTCCACTCATCAGGCATTTTTTTGGACCGTAAAATCACATTAAATAATTTAGTTAACCATCTCACCCCTTCTTCACCTAAACATTTCCACGCTTCGATAGATATACAATCAGGTCCGTTGGCTCTACCATTTGCCATTTTCTTAAGAGCTTCCTTTACCTCCTTATCACGTATTATTCGATAGAATGACAAATTTTGTTCTCCTTCACCAGTTACTAAATCCTCCAAGTTACTAGATGAATCATCTCCATCATTGAAAAGTTTAGAAAAATAAGTCTCCCATCTATTTTTAATTTCATCATCTGTAACTAAAATTCTTCCCTCTTCATCCTTAATACACCTTACCTGTTTTAGATCTCTTGATTTTCTTTCCCTACTCTTGACAATCTTATAAATATTTTGCTTTCCTTCCTTCGTCTCGAGGTTCTTATAAAATTCTTCAAAAATTTTAGAACGAGCTTTACTCACAGCTCTCTTAGTTTCTTTCTTAGCCATACGGTACCTCTCCCAATTTTCCTCATTGTTACACAAATGTATGGCTTTAAAACAGTTCTTCTTATACTTGATTTTGTCATGTACACTATTATTCCACCACCAAGACTCCTTATCTCTCAGACCAGAACCTTTCGATTCTCCCAAAACTACTTTTGCAACCTCCTGTATCTTTTTAGCCATATCCTCCCATATGATGTTAGCACTTCCTTGAGATTCCCAAATTTCTTTATCCAAAAGATTTCGCTTGAAAATATCTTGCTTCTCACCTTTTAATTGCCACCACCTAATCCTTGGTGTTACTACTTGTTGACGTTTTTGGATTTTACTCATAATACACACATCAAGGACTAGGACCCTATGTTGTGTCGTTACAGCATCTCCGGGGATCACCTTACAATTTTTACAAAGTCTTCTATCTGTGTTCCTAACCAAAAGAAAATCAATCTGTGACTTTGAGGCTCCACTTTTGTAAGTGATGAGATGCTCATCTCTCTTCTTGAAACAAGTGTTGGCAATCTTAAAATCATACGCCAATGAGAAATCAAGAAGAGTTTGTCCTTCATTGTTTAGCTCTCCAAAACCAAAACCGCCATGCTTTTCTTTTGGTTATCCTACTCCCTCAATTTAATCGAATAATATTAAGTATGAGGACATAAACAAGGTTAAATTATATATGACCAGACAAAATAACATAAGTAATAACTGAACAAAAATTATACTTTTGAAATAGATTTTCCAAAATTTAACTTCAGAGTAACGATGCATAAGACTAAATCAACGAAGTATACTGCTCATGACCGCATAAAACAAGCAAAACCAGGGAAAATCAGAAGAGAAAATCATTTCAAGACATGAGCCCTGTACACTTGGACGCTTGGTTAATATTAGGTGGCTGCAGAAATTCACCGGCGTAAGGAAGAAAGGAAGAGGCGAATATCGTAAGAGCATCAGTGTCCTAAAGAATGTTGAGCATTATCTTAAAGGCCATGCCACCAGAAAAATTGGGTGAGTCCAGTCTTGACACTGTAATCCAATAATCTAGCATCAGTCAGACTTCTAGCCACAAAATATTGAGAGAACCAGACGCAGACAACTCAATCAAAGGGTATAACAAAAAAATATGAACAGCAGGATTCGACTAATTCATTGAAGGAGGGAAAACAAAAGAAGAGAAAAAAAGATTTACCGAAGCCAGCCATACAAACCAACCTAAAAGAAGTGAGGGCCAAGATTAGTGAGCAAAGGTGCAATGACCTTGTCTACCAGTCAAGAAAATATGCAAATTGACCTTTACTTGTTGCTTGAATGGGACATCACAGGTTCCACATCCAAACTTGGACAAATAGAAAGGTCCAGTTTATTCAAAGGCCAACATTCCCATAGATTCAAATGCCCAGCTGAATAGCATTCCAACATATTACCAATTGGATTGGCATGATCTTATGGAAACATGACTTTGGACTTTAGATATAAGTAATGCGTGACCTAACAGATAAATACCGTGATGACTCTTCTTTCTTTCTTTCTTTTCTGATATTTTTATTAAAGAAAAAGATTATATGGAACAACCAAAGAGAGAGAAAAAATAAAAAGAATCTCAATCTACTTTTGCAAGTAATAATGCAGAGACACACTTGCTCTTCAATAACTGACATTTATGTTGCAACAGTTTTGCAGGTAAGAGCATAGAAGGGAAGATAGTACAGAAAGGGCAAGTTTGAACATGTCCAATAAAGTTGGCAAAGGTTTAATGCTTTTTTAAGTAAATTTTAAATGTCAGCATGGATGTAAATGTCAGGAAGCTCCTCATATCAAGAAAAACTCTCTACTCATGACAAATTTATAGTTTCATAATGGCTTCAGCATTGGTAAGAGAATGTATATGGGAAGCTGGAACACACCGGTGGGGTAAATGAAGGTAGTGTTTGCGTATGAGCGAGCACAAAGTTTCCTGCAGTGACAGGACAGGATGCTTCCTCACAAAGATCATGAGTTTCTGTATGGACATGCACCCCAAAGTATGAAACTTCAATGATTACCTTACCGCCAGAAATAGGCTCACCTGATGGAAACATAAATAGCAATTCCACTTGTTACTATTAAATAAAAACAGATTACCAAAGCCACTTCCACACACAAAATGACTAATGAATCTCAAGAAATGATCAGTACAATTTGTAAACAGACTTTAAATTTTAATGCCAACTGGCAACTATCTTATTTTAATTAATCATTCTGTTTTTGTGCATATAGAGATGAAAGTCAATCCAACAATTTGTGGTTAACCTCTACATCTGCACATAAGAGCGCAATGCCATGCATTTTAAGTACGAGGAGAAACCATGATGGAGATTGGAAGAAGTAAAGAAACAAATTAGTAATAAAGATAAAGAATTACCCCTTCCAAACCACTTTATAAGGCATCTTCTAAAAGTCTTACTTGATCCAAAATATAGAGCACTGAGTAGCTTTTATAATTGTTTTTCCAACTATACCCCTACTTCATTTATTATTTTTTTTCAAAAAATGATGCATTGTAATTTAAATTATCATTATCAAAGAACTTATGCAAAGGTATTTAATGAGAGTAAAATTATAAAGATGTAGACTTTTTCAAGAAATTAAGGTTTTTCAACTAATATTTTTTCTAGAATACCATTGAGGGAGCACAAAACAACGAGAAAGTGTGAAGTTACCCGTAGCAGCTGAAATCTCAAAGGTAGCCGGTTTCCCCCTAATCACAGGGTCGGGTGATATTTCAACTCCAATCACCTTCACAGCATAGTCTCCTTGCTTTTCTGCACAAATTTTGAGCAGAATTATAAGCTATCAATCGATATAAATCTGCCATAGTCTAAACGAAATGTACATAAAGGTGATCGGATGCAGATGGATCCTCTTGCTCACGTAAGATGACACAATCTGCAAATTTACTGAGCAATCTAGAATCCGCAAATTTACCGACAAATTTGGAATGAAAATTATACTTTGTGAAACAGTGATTGATTAAGAAATGTTCAATTCGACTAAAACATCAGAGCATTGAAACTTGAAAAACACAGCTCCACTATATCTGATTTGTGGCTTTAGAAAAAGCAGCAAAAGATAATTAAATAAAACTACCACAGATTATACCGAAGCAAGCAAAGACAACGTCCAAAATAGAAGTAGAAACCTAATGACAGGAGAGATAATTGTTATTCTTAAACACTACATTGCAACATACACTAAACATTACAGAAACAAAAACAAAAACAAAAAACGTCCCTTATCTCGAACTGGGTAAGATTTACCCCCAAAAAAAATATGTCAAATGAAAGGAGAAAGGTGAGCTTACCGCAGTATTTGACCCTTGTAGCATGAATTTGAGATGATGACAGCAATAGGATGCATGAAAGAACGGAGAGCTTTAGATGAGACGGAACCTCCATGGATCGCCTAGTGTGATAGACGGGAAGGAAACCGTCTCCCGGTGCGATCCTTGTGCTTCCTTTGCGGTCAGGTTAATCGAGAGTCGGCAGCCTCGTCGAGCTTCGACAAGCTACCACGCTAATTTTTAAATAATAGATTAACGGAAAAAGATACACTCCCTCCCCAATAATCACAATATAAAAAAAATCTTTTCAACACCTCATCTTTTATTCAAAATATAAAACATTAAATAATTATTATATTTATTTTTAATTATATTCCTATTTTATTTATTATTATTTTAAAAAAATTATGTATTAAAATTTTAATTATTATTATTAAAATTCAACATTTAATAAAGGTATCAATAAAAAAATATAAACATTTTTAAAAATTTAAAATTTTAATTAATATTATTTTTAAATTATAAATTAATTAACTATAACTTATAATGTAGTCCATAAAGAGTATTACCTGTAGTCCTATAAATTATTTTTAACATATTTTATTAAAATTAAAAAAATTTTAAGCTTTATTAACTTTATTTTAAAATTTAACAAGTTTTTACTTTTATTTTTAATAAATATTCTTAAATCTTATTATTAATATTTTTATTTAAAGTATTTAACAAGAGTAAAAATATAAAGATAAATATTAAAAATTAATAAGTGCTCTATAAAACTAAATTTTTTATCTCTCTCTATCTCATGAATAGGATCAACAAAATATATTGAAGGATTGGTTATTGGTATGCACTTCAATTTTTGATAAGTATTAAAAAAAAAGCTCCGCACTTTAATTTAAATTTATTTTGCATTTTAATCTTGTGTGAAAGTAAACACATTCAAGTCTTCAGATATAAAAAAAAAAAATTACACTCAAATCTCATGAATCATGATTATATATTATCAGGCCTAAACCATTCCAATATCTTTAAGTATAACCTTTATTGCTGAGCTAGATTAGAAGGAAATGGGGGTTAAAAAAAAAGGGGAATGAGTCAAATTAGTGGGATCAACTGGCCAAGTATTTTTTTTTTATCATATTTATCAAGGATATTTTTATAATAAACACATTAATTACTCTTAACATTTTACAAAACTTCTCGTAAAAATATACATGGAACTTTTAAAAAGATGCTATTCTAATAGTAAATGAAAGGAAATGAGATACCATCTCTATCTCTAGTTCTATATGTGAAGGATAATTTTAACCACTTTATAAAAATTTAAAAACTTTAGTTAAATTAGATGATGGGGTTAAATTTGTTTGTCAATAATTTTTTTTAATTATATCTTATTGGGTATTTTTTTAAACATAACCAATATATCTCAGTTTTCTTAGAATAATTAAAATGTTTTGAAAATTTATTAAAATATTCAAACATTAAGGTGTAATCAATTTTGCTAGAAAATATCACATCACATATACACCTCCAGTCTTATTTATTGGTCATTTTCTAAAAATATAATATGATTCGCTTTATAAGTCATTAGTTGATGGGATTGATTTGTTTTAAATTAAATTTTTTAAATTATTTTTAAAAAGTAAGAGAAGGAAAGACAACAAAAAAATAATATTATACTATTTGTTTGCTTTTTGTTTTTTATTTGAAGGTTATATTTAAAATTTGACTTACTTTTATTTTTTGTATTTTTATTGAATTGGTATTGATGATGTTAATAGAAATGATTTATGTCTCTTCCCCATGACTCACTATAGTCTGCAACCCTATCAACAGGACACTTGTTGATGTTGACCTGTCAAGGAAAAAAATTAAACATTTTATGTGTGTGTGTTTTTTTTTAAATACCAATACTTTAATATTTATAAGTAAAATATTATATAAAATTATAAAATTTATAAGTAATTTTATTTAAAAGGTATTTTAATATTTACAAGTCTATTTCTTAGATCTATAACTCAATTTAACAAATTTACATGATACAAACAAATTTACATGTGGCATTTGTAAATTTTACATGTCTATTTACAAGTCTTTTTTTTTTTTTGCACAAGTTTGCCTACACAAATAAAATACTCTTACTCTTACTCTTTCTCTCTCTTCATCTAAGAATAGCGATTTGAGAAGATGAAAAAAATGTCTCTCTACCTTCAACCTCAACCCTCCACCCAAAACTTTTGCCATCAAAGGAGATAGAGTACGTTAGATCTTAGATGGGCTAGACTTGACATTAATGATGTAACTGCGTGTAAAGGACTTATAAAAAACAAGAAGAATAACTAGATTAAAGAATTTTTTGAAAACATTAGTTATCAACTTGGCATAGTAATTGAGTTTATAAAAATTTTGAAAAAACTAAACATTTATTTGAATGTTAAGATTTCCAGAATTAATGTCTACTTTGATTTTATGGAGATTTTATCCCTTACTAAATGTAACTTCACCCATAGGCACCCTCTTTCAACAATTATTAAAAACATCATAAATATCATTATGATAAACTGAAAAATTACTTTTGATTATATTTATAAAAAAACTAACCGTTGCACAGATTTTATAACTTACAAAGCTTCAAGCGAACATTTTAATATTATTTTATTTAACTGTAGGAGCCTCATGCTTTTAACATGACTTGATCTCAATCTTTTTATATTATTTTTATCGTGATCTTGTATTAAAAAAAATAAATAAATAAAAAAAGATGAAGAAGATGACCCAGTAGCTCAGGCTCGAGTTGCCATGACACGGGCGAACTGGAGCCAAGTGACAGTGCTTGCAAAGTAGACGGATGTAGAGCATAGATCCGCATAGGTGAAGTTGATTTGGAACAGCGATCTGCAATTTTGGTGCGGCGGCTTCATCGAAGTAACGGCGAAGAAGCAACTTCATGAGCGGAGTTTGGATCTAGTGAGGGATGGTGGCTTCGGGAATTTTGTGATGTTCCAGATCCGAGTTTGTGTTCAAGTCGCCATGCTCTCTTTTTTTTTTTTTTGGTTTTTTGATTTTGATTGTTGCTGATAAAAGTTTGGACTTTAAAAATTTGTTGCTATGATTTTTGAAAGTTTGATAGATATTAATCAACTAGGGACTTTTTAGGTCACATGAGAATTGTTAGGGGAATGCAAAGATCATTTTGCGAGGAGCTGAACGCACTGGACTGGAAGAAATCATTCGGCTGAGGGATTGGTATCACTGTGCCCAAGGTTTGCAAATGCATATAATAGAGAAGATTGGTTCAAAGTGAAAGCTTATGAAAAACTGCATCAAATTTATTTATGCATTTATTTATTTTGGGAAAGGATTGGTTCTCCATGGAAGATTATGTGATGTGACACTACTAATCGGATTATGCATTCAAAGTGGAAAATTGTTTGCGGAAAGCACTGAGCTAGAAGAAATTGATGGTGTTTATGCAGATAAGGCTTGAAGCTAGGCACGGCCTCATGCAGACAATTAATTGGGCTGGATTATATTTTTTTTTTCATCTTTTTATTTTAAAAAAATGCCAAGTGGCAAGAAGCGAAGGTAACGATTAAATAAAGGGTCACACTAATGATAAAGCAAAATTGTTCCCTTTTTTAAAATTTTGAGGCAAAATTACTTTAAACAAAAAAAAAAGGATGCTAGATACTATTTATAAAAAAATTTCAGAGCATTGTTATCCTTTAATTTTAAAAAGTTTATATTATTTTTTTATAATATTATATTGTCATATTTTTTATTTATGATATCATATTAGCAAACTAGCATATTTTATATTATATTTTTATAATATCACAGTAACATATTTTTTATTTATGCTGTTTCCAAATGACCTTTTAATTTTTCCATGAATAATAAGTTCATAAATAAAATAAGATGTTTATATTTTTAGTATGACCAAAAGCACGGTAAAATTTAACAAGTTTTTGTTAAAAATAATTTATTATACATTTAGCGCATGAGCAATAAATCTTGCAAGTGGTTTTTTTATTTAAATGCAACAAATTTTTAGAAAGGCCTTTTTTAATGACTCATGAATAACTAAAGCCACATGATTTTTGGCAAAGCTATGTGAAAAGTATGCTCATGTTTTAGATGAGGGAGAAACTATGTATTGTAATATTTTTTATAAAATTCATTAGATTATAAGCTCTTCAAATCAATACAAACTATACTTATATTTTATTTGTCTTGATTTTGTGTTTGCAAAAATACGTTGGCACAATGAATAAGTGTTTAATCTCACTTTCTACTTTATTTCTCATGAGTTTCATTCATCTATTTCTAATTAGTTTCATATAAAGCGCTACATTTTATGCAATTATTAATTGTACACTAGGTAACCGATCCCCTTTCATACAAATCTCATCGCCTTTCTTGTCCTTTGTGCAGTATTGGAGTAGTTGAACTTGACTTAGATAGATTCAGGAACTAATTATTATGTTAATGGCAATCTACTTAAACATCTTATTTAATTATTATTATTTGGAATATTAATACAATATGCGTGTCAATTTTATTTTTAGGGAGATGACTAATTGTGACTTTGCTTTGCCTTGTAAAGGCACTGTAGCTATGTTGGGGTTGGATAATAAACAAGGCAATGATGGAGCAATGAGATAAGGGAAGGTATGTTTAATGATAATCAACAACTTAACTAGTCTTGCTTTTTTTTTTTGAACTCACAAAATGGTTTAATATAATAAGTTTTCCGTTTTTTTTATAAGAATAACTAAGACGGTTTAAATTATATTTCATTAGAATTAAAAAAAAGAGAGACCCAATAATGGAATTTATTATTTTGTAAGTTTTACATGTATGGCTTTTATTTCTTTTTTCCTTCAATTACTTCATCCTATGTTACATTAAGGCCTTCTAGATTTCATGTTTTAATGCATATACTCTTATTCTATAAAAGATCCGATGAGACACAAGCAACAAATACCAGAATCTATTCTATTATTTTTATTCAACTATTGTAAATATATTTTATTTAATCTAAGACGTGAAGTTTGCTAAAATAAAAAAATTAAAACAATTATAATATGTCATGACCTATTAAAATTAGATTATATATTGAATTTAACGTGAGAGTCGCGTTCTATAAAGCCATAACCAAACATAATTAAACATATATTTGCGCCCACATAATGACCGGAGACAAACAAGGAAGAAGAGGTGGGAAAAAAAGAAGA